AAACCATCGATTTTAGTAATCTCCTCATCAATTTCGCTGTGTAACCAGGTCTCTTGTAATAGAATTGCTCCCAAATTAGCATATTCCATACCGCGCACAAGATCAGATAGATCTGGTAATTTTCCAAGCAACGAACGTACGTTATGGCTGATAATGAGGGATATACAGAGTTGTGACAAAGTTCTTTGATGCAGTGCTACTCTCCAACCACCACGATGCTTCTTCCAATGTCCGCGAGATTTTCTGCGAAGCCTTTTGTATTTATTTCTAACTGATTTTCCGAATTCAAGTACTTCGGGAGGTAAATTAGAGTTCTTGATGCTTATCTTGAAGACCTTATGAAATATCGTGACCGGTGTCATCGTAATTGCACAATATTCCTATGGAAACGACCCACAAAATTAATTGATGTATAGAAACAACGGGAATGTCAGTGACTATGTGACAATGATCGAACGGAAAGCAACAGTACGGCCGAATTAGAAGGCCTCGCCAAAAATATGGTCGAACCGAAGGCAATTGTTTCGTTATTCAACGTTGGGCTTTTCGACACCTGTTCTGCTTCCGCAAGTTCGTTTGAGAATAATTGTTTGAAAAGGCAGCTTGATATTTAGTTTATTCAAGTTGTTCTCAGTGATTGTTCGTATAACGAGTTGGTGAACCGTTACTGAATCGGTTCAGCACGTATTTAACATAACATACGTTATTTGGTTCTCACTGTGAACTCCTTAGAAAAATCAGCCCCCCCCCTTAGGTTTAGCATTTTCCGTACTGCCATACTTAGTTAAGAACCTCTATATATATCCAGTGTTCCGGAATACTGAGAGTATGACCTGATGTTCATGTTTCATGGTCACAAATACCCACTGTTCAGCGATGGAAACCGGTAGCCTAAGCCCTGGGACTTAGAGTGGCGAGACACAACAGGCCCGCTAGATTAGGTGTGGTATTGAACCAGACGACAGCAGAGCTGCCTACCACCAAATAATATGTATCGGATAGTACAGTCTCAAGTTCCAACACTGCTCCGCTCAGGTCAATCTGTTAAATGTAGACCTAATGGGTAATTTACCCTCTTTAATGTTCAGAAATGGGAACCGGGATTCCGATTAGTTTTCTAAAATAACTATAAAGTTGAAGTATCAACGGTATGAAGGTTGATACGTGTTTCTTGCATGACCGTCGTGCGAATTCAGAAGAAATGGTTAGATGTGAGAGACACCTGTTGCGATTGGCCTCATTAGACCCAAAATGAGAACAAAATGACTATATGCGTTAATGTACACATATATATTATTTGGATAGGCAGAAAGATAGTCCTATGAAAAAACTGCAAACGTTACAGCATGGTCACCAGTTTTTTTAATGAGTTTGAACTAAAAAGGTAGAAACCAAGATATTTGCTCAGTACCTAAGAAGATTCATTTTTTATGATTCTTTTGTTTACTCCTGTAGTGTTGCGTAACATTGTGAGAATTAGAGTTCATAACTAAAAAGGTTTTCAGATCCAATTTACCATTCATTGTATGCATCAGAAATCAAATAAGTCTAATCAGATTCTCAGTGTTTTGTTTCCAAAGCGGCAACAAACGGATTTCGTGAAGGTTGCTTTGATGTTCCAACAACTATTTGGCTAATGACATCAATTCATAAGCAATCCATGGCACCATGTTATCTCAACACAACGCATCAGAAAACTACAATTGTATGTTCAGTTCGAAAAAGGAGAAACAGTTTAGTTACACAGTGATTTTCATAAATTATTTCAAGATGGCAATCGGAATGAAAACGTGATTCAAAATATTTGGAACCATTTGGCAAATGAACCACAGCCTGTGCGACTGTTCCAATCGCAAGTGAAAGGCCTCGTACTTGAGGTGGCATCGGGAACCGCGTGGCGTGTAGTTTGTGAGCTGGAAAAGTCACGTGAGTCAATCTGCAGCCACAATTAGTGGCAGATATTGTATTTGCGAAGAAAGTAATATAGCTGTTCATTCCATTGCGGAGTTATTATGACGTTGAAAACACCATTTTTTTAGTTTACAAAGAAAAACAGTCTGTTGAGGACGAAAAGAAATTTTGTTCCACTCTTGTTGTGACGCAGTTTTCAAATTTAATACCCCATATTTCGTATTTACGGTGATTGGATGGAAATATGCTGGTAATTCATGCAGTTCATGCCCAGAGTTACTTACAAACAGGATCTATTCACGTTTTTACCTCCGCTGAATTTTTTTTATAACTACAATTAAATTGTGAAACAAATTGCTAAATCACATCTCACTCATTGTGACCTGTGAGTAAGTGCGTGTGTGTGTGTGTGCAATGGATGCGAATGATTTGGACGGATTGTCGTCCAGACACCGAATTCACTCCCAGTAGTCAGCTTCGAGTTTGTCGCTGTAGATTGTGAATGAAAGTGGTATTCGGGGGATGAAAAATAAATATACGTAATGAACTTTCCACCATCACATGTATTCACCAGACAACTCTCATACGAGTCGCCTGCCACTGAACTATGACTCATGTAATTGTTCTACACAATAGTAAGATTTGAGTTGATTTCAGGAAGAAATAAGCAAGATTCATAACTTTGGCCTTGGGATACTTTTCACGGCGGGGCTAAAACCTCCACAGACAAAAATACAGTTCAGTTGTAAAAACAATAAAATGACAGCCGATTATCTAGCTGTTATTTTTAATTGAATCAAAAGATACGAAGAAAATAATCTTGTGGAATAAATCACGACAGAAATGATAAAGTTGGATGAAAGATCAACAACAAAAACAACTAATTCAGTCTTCTGATGTCAGTTCCCTCAAATGTTCTCATTCAGTTGGGTTTGTTTTCTCCTACTCGAGAAGCGAAACGACCGCCGGTCTTCAGAAAGATTTGGGGATTGCTAGCATAGTTGAACACAGGCCATATGTTGCAATGTGTTCCTTTTTTCAGCTCTCACCCGAAAGACTTTGCTCCATCTGATTGAGGCCTATTTGACGATTGCGCAAACAGCCCGAGTACAGCATCGTTCTCGTCTGGGTATCATAGTGATGTGCAAAGCAATGCGAACCATGCATGCAGAAGGAGCAACCATGTCGGGTGAGTTCGATCTGGTCTGATGTCCTCCAAGGTTCACATGTATTTTTACGGATAATGGTCCGGAAGATGTGTAATGCTCATGAACCCTTCAAAGAATATGTTGCTCTATCGCATCACATAGTTGTCCTTACGCCCTATTAAATATTCCAATGAATACTGATTGAAGCGTTTTCTTTAAGTGTGTTTTAGTTTTATTTAAGATATATTTCAAATTTTCTTATTTCAGAATTACAGTTTTAATGTCAGGATGATGACAGTAAGGTCACATACATGGTAGACTGAAATTTAGAAAAGAATCATCCCTCCGATTCGAGAATATCAGCATTCCAAGTAGGGGTTGCCTTTCAGTAGCTATCTGCACGAGAGAATTTATTTTAGGTAAACACAGCAACAAATAAGGGCGTTTTAGTAATTGTTAATCTGATCATCACAACACAATAAACGTTTGAGAAATCGCAGATAGAGTCTCACTAGTGCATGGTGGAGTAGGCTTTATTTATCCTGTTCAATAGCACGTATGAGTATTATCCTCTGTGGATGAGAACGAAGCAATCAAATCGAATTTCAAATCGCTTGCTTTGTTTCTTGTGGACAGAAACCATACAGCTAGTTCAAATGAACTTTTTTCAAACGCTATATAAGGCTGAAACACGTTTCACAATCTTGACCCTCATTGCACTCCTGAATACTTCAGCTTTGCTGATCGAACCCATGGCAAGTGATTGGCTTTGAAGAACACAAACAAATTATGTTGTGTACTGATGAAAAACGTAGTGAAAGAGAATATTACTAGGCCTAAACTTTGCGACCAATCAGTTCACCCGTTTTACTGACAAGGAGCTTCTGTTGGATTAGTCACGTTACATAAATCCCTAAGAAAACCGAGGATTTGAGTAGTTGTTTATTCCAAAAGTGTGACACGTCAATGGATGGTAGATAAGCATCAGTGAACTAAATATGTAGTTGGAAACATAATTGTTGCTCTTCATTATGGATTCCCGAGTTGCAATCAAACTGTTCGAGCATTTTTGAGCTCAATTTAGTAAGCAATTCATTGCTGCTCTGGGACGTTGTGCGAAACTCCAAACCGTTTTTTTCTCTTCATAGATTTTAGTAACATAACTTGTTAGCATTGATTTATCCAAGTTATTTGCAAGCTCATCAAGAATTCTCGTACACTAAATTGTCAGTCTCACTACTGCAGACTACCAGAGCAGAAGCGCAGTGTTCTGCTTTGCCTGAACCAAGTTTTGATGCACTAGCACAGTTTCTCATCAACAAATGCACACACGTGCGCAGTCATGCGTTGACTGCGGCGAGAGGTTTTGTGGTGGTGGGCGTGGGTGTGTGTGGACGTGATTGATACAGTCAATAAACACTGCACCAGTACTTGGTTCCACCCATGAATATATCTATGTATATGATCAGTACTTTTTAAATACTCATAGTCTGTAGCGGTGAGAGTGATATTTCGACTTGGGTATTTCGATAATCTGAATAAGAGAATCTCAGATACACTTGTATGAAGAATGATGTAACCATACAATTATGAAAAGTTCAGAATGAACCAGTTTTTCAGTTATCGTTCATGTTTTGCAGCTTATTATTTTGGGATTGACTGGAGAAATAAATGTCATTCATTGACCACATTTACTCGCACTGGTTAACTCAACAAAAGGTTATAATATTTGATGTATCAAGCGCACAGAATGTTGGCTGTTCAATGTGTAGCTAAGATTTAAGTTTTAAGTCAGATGTTCAAGATTATTGTATGCTGCAAATGAGTTTCACTGTGAAAAACATAGTTGTTCAGTGCAGTTTTGCGACCAAAGATGGCCGTAATATGCGCGTATTTACGTACAAACTTACGCCCCCTCTATTTCTATTACTAAAAAAATGTAAAGTTTAACTGTTTACTAACGGCAATGTGTACAAGCTGCTTTCCTGGAACTTATGGATGTTTTGACTTCTATTCTGACATTAGCTTCGCGATCCAATACCGTTGTAAAACCTGATTCCGCGAACATCGACGAATACCTACAAAGTGCGGAAAAAAAATCCAGCCTGAGACGAGCACATTGGCCGCATCATCTGACCGATCTATGGATGCGGTGTAGAATCGAACTGATCCAGTGTCAGCTTTGTGAACCCCGGATTCCGGTTCGGTTGAAAAGTAAGATTGTATGAGGCTGTATAAATTTAAACAATGTTCTTCGTATTTGAGATGCGTGTGTATGACGATGTAGTATGTGTAGTCCTCTAGTGATATCCGTGTCATATTGTTTGTACCGGAAAACTAACCCACTCGCGGTCCAGCGCTCTAAAAATTACCGGAAGTTCACACTCCAATAGAACCTCAACCGATTTCACAGTTGCTTGATAACCGTATTGGTGAAAGACCCCTCTTATTTGCGCCCAATCATTTCTGGACGTGATTTAACGTGTGTAAGGATGCGAGCAAGGGACATCATCTTTCCGATCGGCTATGACTTCCTGTCAGAGATGCCGTGGGGAACTGAACAGTCGTTTTCTTCGAAGGGAGAGTTAATGGTTCTCGGGCGGATGTTCAGTGACCGACACGAGATGAACCAGATAATTTCCGTGCTTCATACCACGTTTTGCCTTTGGACAGAAATGGAGTAAAATGTCAAAGTTGTTAGTTAACCGCAAATCACGCTCCAGGGGTTCGGAAATTCATATGATTTTTTGAGCATATTATTGTGCGCGCCCTAAAACACAGTGAACATGGGACGTAGCGTAGCATTTTAGTGCATTCTCAATTTTTCGTCAACCAATGTTGAAGGGAACCGAAGAAACAATTGACTATTTATAACCACAAGTCGTTTTTGAAACAATTTTAAGTGATAATGATTGAACGTCTGATGTCTTGTACACAGACTCTCAAGGGAACATTCCATTATTTATTGCACTAATGATGTGCAGCGCCTGGTGATCTATTGCGAACGCATTTGTTGGGCTGAGCTTGTGACTAGTTAACCAATCTACTATTGCAATCAACTATTTTGCAATTGTGCTGGATTTGTGATCTTTGTGGAATGCGTTTAGCGATACATTTATCAAATCACCTTGTTATTCTTCCTAGTGGTACACCTTTGGATAGGCTATTCACTAAAACGCAGAAGATGCCTTGAAAAACTCAAATAATTAATGTACACAGAGAAAAGTTTTGCAAACATGAAACATCAAGTGAAAGAAAACGCTATCGTTGAGCATCGGAATCACTTTTGTATTGTGTTGTACTGCATAACGTTTGAAAGCACTGAAGCTTACATATAAGTCTAAAACCGATGTATGCCTATAATGACACGGAGATTTTTTTACGGGGAAAATGTTCACGAATCGCATCGAGACATTTCACTGTCCGCGGTTAACACGAAGTTCACTTGTTCCTTTCCGTTTGCTTGTGAGTTGACGTCGAAGATAGGTAAACGTTTATACGAGATGACATTTGTCAAAGCTGAGGGCATGTGGAGGGATACGGACAGCAAATAATCAATTGAGCGTTAAAGGTTAAAGTTTGCGAGAATGGTTCCCGCAAAGTTGACACATGAAGTCGTACGAGAATGTTCACCCAGAACTCGTTTACAGAAATTGAAGAAACGAGGTTAATAACTGTTCGACCGCGGTGTTAGACGTTAAAAGGGTTTGAAAAATAACACAATATATAGCAATATATATAGCAATTAAGTAAGATTGAAAAGACTCGCGGGTTGAAAAGGTAAACAAAACTGACTGAGAAGCACCGAAGGTGCTTTCGCTGTTGTATTCGAAATGACAGACACCGCCGTGTAACAATGCGGTTATAGATGTGGGTTGATCGACGAGAATTGTTATCTATAGTAGTAAAACAGACTTCACCTATAGTAAAAATTGTTGTCTATCACCGCGAGACGAAGAGGGTGCAAAGTTGTGCAAGCATTCGACACATTTTCTGTTATTGTGGGAGTGTGGCAAGGATCGGCCAGACCTTGTGGTTGAAGTAGATGAGTACTAGTGTGGCTACATGTAAGCTAATACCCAACAGTAGGGCAAGTTCATGAAAATCACCTGAGTTAAATAGAAGCCGGATGATCAGGACGGGCGACCTCAAATCGCAAATCGAATTTCCCTTGAAGAAACCGAACATATCCCAGTAACATTTATACGAGAGATTTCGCCAACTATCTTTGTGCCGCTAACGAGAACACCCAAAAATGCGTATTTATTAATAACTTCAATATACAGAATTACTCACAGGCACTACTAAGATGAACCATTGGTGCGTAACGCGTCCCAAATTTTCGAAAAATGGTTGTAAAGGATTCCATTCGACCGAATGGTCAATCTCGTTATGCAAACAGTCAGTGACAGATGAACCGATAAATTGGGTATAGTTGCTTTCACCGTGTTGGTCTCAGCAGCAATGCAAATCCAGTGAAAACCTAGGGAGGCTAAATCCAGGACCGCATGGACGGACCATGGCGTTTGAGCTCTTTGGGTGCCGGACAGCAAAAAAACTGGCTTTTTTTTGTAGCACAATCTATCTTTTCAAACTTGCTTCAAAAGTTCATTCTCGCTTATGTAGACCTTCAAGGCCGTGCACCGACTAAATACATTGCGAATTTGGCCAGTGTTTACAAGAAAACCGAAGCAACCAGAGAGAGGGAGAGTAAAAGATAACGTTAATTTGGTACCCGTGGCACAGCGTCTAAAAAAGATGACTGATGAGAGTATTCATGACAAGTTTTTTGGCCTCCTAGTTTATCTAAAACAAGTTAAGCTATTTTCTTCTTTGAACCAAATATTTGTATTTGTATGAAAAGCGTATTTGGTCATCACCGTTAGTTTGTTTGAAGGATGCAACAGGCACATTTTAGAGCTCAGTTTGTCAACCTTGATCAATATATATACCTTGTTCTTTGACTACCCTTTATCCTTTCCTTGTGGTGCATTTTCTCAGCTGTTTTAGATCTCCAACGTTAACAAGGTTCAATTACCATTTGATATATAGGTGGAGCTCCTTTTACTTTCTAACTCTGAGGTGTGTTTAAAGCAAACCTACTTCCTTTGACCAACCAGCTGTTCACTCTCAAAACTTCTCTCTCTGTTTCCTCTTGTCCTTCATTTACATAAACTGCACTTATAAGAGATTTCTGAATTTTATTCTTCGTCGTTTTAATATCTTGTTATACACAGTCACAACACTCAAGCAATTCTGCCCAATTATCCGTCGTATTACACCGTCCGTATCCTATTTCACGCACCACGGAATTCCAAAACGCTGGTTTTATTCACATATTTTCTTTCCAGATTTAATAGGTTTCTTAGTAGATGCGTACTCTTTCACCTTCAATTCACACCACTGTATATGATTATAGACTTAAATTATGTGCTGAACATTCAGCTTGTAATGCAACATAGCTAAATCGACGGGACAGAGCATGACCTGAGGTTGACAAATGACATTAAAGTGCTATTTTACGTGTTCGTACCAACGCCGTAACTTAAACCTTTTACAGTTACAGTTAAATTTCACGATATTTTCAAGAGTGCACTTCATAGAACAAACAAAATGAATTAGACAATAACAAATGTATTAAATAAGAAGCTAACTTGTCTGTGTGTATTACGGATGTTGCTTCTCTGGTGGAATGCATCAAACGTAATTTTCACTCGTTCTTTTCCAATTGCCTTGGTACAGTCCGTATATTATTTCAGTGTTTGATCGTGCCTTGTTTTCTGTTTTTTCTCAGATATGTTTGAAATCAGTGTTCCCGAGGAACCCGCATTGGAGGACAACATACAAACTGGCCTGGAAGAGGCTGCGAATTGTGGCGAGATTCGATTCTACATAAAAATGAATGTTTTGGCCAGCAAGGCAACAGCAAGATCAAGCAGCTCTCTCACAGAGGAAATGAAATATTTACAAGTGAGTTAGAAATTTATCTTATTGTTCCCAAAGTTCTGCACTTCCAAGTTTCCCGGAATTATCTCTTTATATCTCACAGTGGAAGAATTCTCAGGACACTTCTTAAATGATTGCTCGGATACAATTCAGCGAGCGTATTTCTACTTTTGTTATAAAGTTAATTTAGAGTTCATGAAACAGTATATAGAGAACAATAGGAAGAATGATTTCCTGGTCCTGGTAGTGAGACAAAATACTAGGCCTCCATGACCAAGAGGGTAGGAAACAGTGGTTTAGGGCTCTTCTTCAGCCCACGAACACCAACGAAATTAGAATAAAATATATTATGACCCGTTCCTAGCTGGGTAAAAGCTTTTCAAGTTGGAGAAAGCGCAAGAAGAGCATGATCTCCAGCCCATATAAACTATGGTGGAAGATAGGCCATTAATAACCTCATGAGATTCACTACTCAGTATGTTTCTTGATCCCGTCAATCCTGTGTGAAGAGAAATAGCTTTCACTTTTTATCCTCATTCATATAGTTATGACAGCAGAATCAGATATTTCATTTTGCCTGTTCACCCGATCTATGAGAACCGAATTTTAATACTTTGTCAATGCATGGTGACCTGCTTTGAATGAGCAAGGGCCGATAGGAAAACAGAAATTAACTTGCGTATCCAATCCATGTTGAGTCGTTCTCAAATTCGTGCGTGCATGAAGTACGCAGTCCGCCGTTCGGTTGGAATGAGCATGAATTTCGATGCGTAAACTATTTCACGGGTAATAGTTCGTTAGGACTTTCTGGGCTTGGGTTTGGTGTGCATTTAAACAAGACTCATTTCAATACTTCATTTGTAGTTCTTCCGTCCAAAGCTTTTGGATGTGCTACCTGAGTGCTCCTACTGACACCTGATTTGTGTCAGGAATAACGAGCATCTCTTTTAAGGTAATTGTTAGCCCTGGAAACTCAGAGATGTCATTCAAGTTGATCGTCGTTGTTGTGTCTCTCCAAACTATCTCCGAACCTGGTCCCGTGATGCGCATTCCAGCAATCTCAGTTAAAAGACAGTTGCAAACAGTGCAATACTTTATTGGTTGTAGCAGCCAAACGTGGAATGAGGAAAGGTAAAGGTACGGCATACACGGTTTCGGTCAGAGTCTAGTGCTCTGTCCGGAATCGGGGTTACGAGGGCGCCGATAAACAGAAATCCACGACTACGCATCCAGGATCCTCGAGAAAACGCCGATATATTCTTACAGTGGCGGCTGTTCTCAATCGGTTTGATATGAAAGCTGCCGGAATTCACAGAGAACAGGTTAAGATCACCCTAACCCCATTGCACATGCATTGCGAGTTTGGCAGCGATCAATGAAGCTGGTTTCTATGTATTTCGCTATAAGATGATGATGACCCTGACAATAACATTTTAGCTTGCTGTATCGCAAATGTTCGATTTTACAAATCACATCGTCGAGTTTTCTGTCGTTATTCAATCAAGTTTTGAATGCAGTAAATCAATTTTAAAACAGGTGAACAGCACTCAAGGTTCATTTATTAATAACAAACAGTCTCTGGCATTGTAAAGAAACAGTTCCGTTTTGGTACAACTCCTCAACTTTATCTAAGATCGTTGATTTTCTTTCGTTGATTGCCCTTTACAAGCAAGCGGACAATTTGGAACATCTGTGGTATCGCAGTTCCGTGGTCAATGAAGACGAAATGTTCATTGCTTTGCGATTACACGATTTCGCCATGCTTGAATTATGCCAGTCTACCACATCGAACACTGAGGAACGGATCCAAAAACAAATAGAAAAACTGCTATCACTCAGAAACAATATTGTAAACAATGTGAGTGCCTGATTGTAGGGTGTGTTGTTTTGTGGTGTGCGTCTCAACGACTGTTGCAAGACTGGTATTATTGTTGCTGTTGCGTCTTGTTTTTCCTTTTAGATAACTTCCAATAGTTACGGTTGCTCTCACTTATTTAATCCACTCGGGTCTGCAAAATGGTTGTTCTGATTATAGCTTACTTTATAGCTTAGTTATAACATTGAAGGTTGAAAAGCTAGGAATCACTGAACAACTGTCTCGACCTGGTTTGATCTCACTAGCAGTGCGAATCAATCGACGGGGATCGAACCCAGGACCTCACGAACAGAACGCGGGCATAATACTCACCTGAAAACAGGGCAGCTGATTGGAGCATTTTGTATTTCTTTATACACAGTTTAGCGCGGCTCATCTTTGCAAGCCTATTGCAACTGTGACACCATACTTATCTCATAACTAGCCTCCAGGGCTGTGATTCAGGTGGAAATATTACGAAGCTGACTTTTTTTTACACGTCATTATTATAGGATTTGATTCGACCATCTATGGTTCAATCATATGCCCCATTACCATAATGCAAATTTAAAACTGTTTTCCTTTTGTTTTCATGTTTGACTTTCTAACACAGGTTTTAGTACAGCCCAAAGTTGAACCCTTTCAATGTGAGATAGTTTTGTTTTTCAGCGGCGGTTACGAAGATGCAAAACTAAAAATGATATCGGCACATTATTATTATAGGATCAACTGGGTCTAGTCTATAAACGCAAATAATCCTGTTAGAAAAAAATCTTTCCCGAAAAAAATCGATCCAACATGAGCTGAATACCGCCCATTAGAGAACAGGTTAGTTTTCCTGGGGTAGTTGACAAGGAGTCTTTCAGCTTGCTAAAATCTGAAGCACAATGAAGCAGGCGATGAGTGAAGAATGAGCATGGATGCAAGTCAATATTTATTTCGTTAGATCATGCGTATAATGAACGAAGTCAGACGTCCAAGGTGTAAAATACACTCTATGTTAACATTCACGCCGGCGACTGTCGCCAGGAACAAGATAATAATTTTCCTGTTGTTCTTGTTTGGTTTCTGTTTGGTTTTCTGCCAACTTCAATTGGATAAAGTAATGTTGAATCCAATTACAATGCCGGAAGTTCGCATTTTCTATCCGGTGGAAAACACCCGCACCACCTGAAAATGGAGTGTGGTGTCCTCAGCATCCATCAATTGAGACGCTAATTCGTATAAGGTTTTTTTGAGAGTTGAAAAGGAAGAGTGATCAGTTGGTTTCAGTTTTCGGTTTGAACAACTGTTGAACAGCTCGTAATCCTAAACTTTCCTTTGGCCATTCGGGTCGCTGTTATTTGTGTCTCATTTGGATGAAGGAGTAGATAAATGGTTTCCATTTTGGAAACAGTATTAAGGGGAAAATAGAGAATTCATGTGGAATAAGGAGTGCAAGAATACTGGGTAGATGCAAGAGCGTTCCTGCTTAGGAAAATTCGACTTATAACTGAGTACTCACAACGATCGGTTTCACTGAACCCGAGATCCCTATCCAGCATGCCTAACGTGTGACCTCTGTGAGCAACCCGTTCGGTCAGGGATTTAGTACCGTCATATTAATGTCCCCAAAAACGAAATCTGTGCAAACAGAACACTTGTTCCATAAGGTGACTACGATTATCATTTAATACTACGCCTAACCGCAGTATTCGTTTAGTGTGGTGTAGGCAGAAGTGTTCAAAACCCACCATCTCCGCCACCACCTGACATTCTCCTTATTTAGCCTGTTGCATAGCATATCTCCAAATGGCCGCTTCCTCGTTCCCCAAAATGGTATCATTGTATACTGAATAGAAAAATAAAATGAAATAAAAGATGCAAATGTCTCTCCTGTTCCTGGTTTCTCTATGGCTCGATCTCTTCGCCATAGAGCAACCCTGACCGAACGGCTGTAGTCCATACCCGACCTATCAGAGCAACCGGACGTTGCAGCAGCACCACAGATGACTTAAGTTGTCTAATGCTAATTGAGTCTGCTGCATACGGATGCCTCCGCCGGATGAGATTTAGTTGCACAACCCGCAAACAAGGTTACAAGTGTTGACTAGTCCTGACAAACAATGTGGATCGGACGCTGTGAGATTGCAGTCAACCTCTGTATGTGTTCAGGTAAACTGTATTCAACAGCAATCCTCCTTCTGCAAATTGTAAGTGCCGTTGTATTTTTCTCGACAAAAGCGGACATACCACCGCCGTTATATTGGAAAATGTGTTTGAATTATGGAAACATTCTAATAAATCAGGTGAATGAATCGATGCATATATATACATATACATATATATATATATATATATATATGTATATGTATATATATATATGGATAGATAGATAGATTGTCTAAGGAGTAGGCAAACTGATTTGATCATTCTGTTTTCAAATGAATACAAAAATATCTAGTCAGTGTCCATATATCGCTTCCAACTGATTAGTTAAGCGGAGAGTTATGCATCCAACCATCCAATTCGTATTGAAGTGCTGATATTTAAAGACGCTTGATGAGATATGTGATCTGTCAACACAATGGATGAGTTTTGGAGAAAAGCAATTTTCCATGATGACCTTACTTGTGGCATACAAATAAAAGACAACAAAATTAGGCATCAAATGGTTTATGAAACGAACTACATCAGTTTAGGTGACAACAATACAAACTGAATTTCGTGTGTGTGTTTTACTGTTCAGCTGTTTCAAATATCGTGACTTGTCATTGCTTGATTCTCGAACATACCACATGCGAACTATTCATCAGCTGACATTTAGGAGGCCAGTGTTTGAAAACAGCGTCAGATCTCACATTTCGAATGGAGCAAAAGTGGTGCGATACATATGGTGGAGAAATACTTTTATTTTACCTGTGAGCCTCCTTTGGTTTCGTGGATTCGCACTGATGACCGGGACCAAAAACGTTTGAAATAACTGAAAGATGCTGCTTCGATTTTCAAGTCAAGTCAAGTCAAATCAAGTTAAGCTTTATGCAACAGACAGGGTGGATTTTCAACAGTTTCGACAAGATATTGTTGGGCAGTGAAAAAACATTACATGGTTCATTAATGAAAAACAAATAGATTTGATGGAAAGCTAAGCTTCTGGATGATTTTCCAAGTCAGTAATGATAGTCGATTGGTTTACTTAGCTTCAAGCAAAAGAAGAGATGATGCTGTTTTTGCATATGGTGGTACATACATGAAGAACCTTGCATTTGGGACAAGTGCTCGGATTAGACTCAGATTTATTGTTCATCTGAAGCTTTTATTGGCAAATATCATCATAAAATGAAACCTCTTGATAGGCTAGAACATTGGGTATATTAGGTGTATTCCGACTTAACTACTTGCTAATTTTTATTACACTTTTAGTTAATTCGTAAATTTCTGATTCCAATAAACAGCTATTTTACTTTCAAATGAAGTAGACACAAGAGAACATTCACAAATAAAATTTTGTACCCTAAAGTTCCACGTCTAAATTTGTCTGAAATGCTTACCATAGTACTAGCCTACTCCAGATCAAGTCTAACCATACTCTAGAGAAACCGCACAATTCGAAGATGAATGCAGACACAAGTGTTCGCTTTCTTGAGTCAACTGCGTGAATGATCAGGAAGCGTATTGCTGTTTCAGTCAGCTAATTTCCTCAATCGAGGTTCACTCATGTCGGTTCTATTGCATGTCTGGTTCCGTGTTTGTGCACAAATGTGTACAATGGATTTTCCGATCGGCGTGCAGCAGAATAATCGTCGCTGCACGTGACCTGGTTTCGGCAAACGACATCAGTTCCCCCGTGAACACAGGCGAATAAACGGGTTCTCAGGCCTTCTGAGGGGAAAAGCAAGTGGACACCGATCTTTCTCTTTCAGTGGCGCGGGGTCATGTGGCACTTGTCTTGCCTGATCGACAACATAAACAGCTGTGGTAATTGGATAGTCCAAACAAATCGGACGGAAAGTTAAGCTTGCTTGATACGCCTAGAACGAGGCCGCAAACTCTCGTAGCATATTCGCCAGCTTTCTTGTTGAATGACATTTCCATTCAGCTTTCTGTTTACGCTGGCTATCACTGTTGGAGTAGGGAAAAACAGCGTTAATCCAAACGGGCACCACATTGACCGTGAGAATACATTACCCCCTGTATCATAATCATTATATTTTGTAATGTTTGAGGCAGATTTAGATTTGCACATTTACCGCTACCCGCTACATCACAACCGTGAACATCGTTGATCAATTAGAGAAAAATCATTTAATCATAAATGCGATCGTTTAATGGAAATTCATAACTGTTTGCCGCATTTCGAGCTAATGGTGGTTTAAATGAACTGATATAATGGCAATAAACAAACAACTACGTTAGATAATCACAATTGTTTTTGGCCTCGTAGTAAAACAAGCCATGTATACAGTTCTGCAATAATCAATCAAGGTGTGCACTGATTGTTGCTGCTTTCAGTTTTCTCTCGGTTGTGATGAAAGAAGACATCATAGCGATTTGTAGTGTAGTGCAAAAAACAAGACGGCCCGGAAATGTACAGTATGACTAACGATAGCGTTTTTCACCTTTTGTCTTCATCCAGTAACTAGCATGATCACCTACATCAGGCAATTTATCATATGTATGTCTTCATGGCGAACGCCGTCATCTAATCGACAGCATTCATTAGTCGAACAGAACTTTTGCGGTTGTTGGAGCAACCTAAAGAAACAGGATGTTTTGTGTTGAAGCGGAAAAATCGCTCGGGACATTGGTATACCTTGAGCGGTAAAAAGAAAGCGGAGTGTATTTCCTCAATGTGAAACGCGGCAGTATTGGCGAAATTGAACACTGTAAATAATAGTATCTAATAGGTTAGTTATGGATTCCAAATAAGCTAGGGGATAATGGATACTTGGTTTGTCCTTCTGTGGTGGTCTCTATGGAAGTGTTAATAATACCTATATGCATACCTACAACTTGATAAACGAGTTCATCTTGATTGGTCCACAATTCTCAGCAACTCGCTTATTACAATTTCTGGTTTGTTTAGGTTCAATTTCAGATGTATTGTGTGTATGGTTAACGAAATGAATCTTTCGAAAACGTACGTAACAGGTTGAAACTAATGATGTGAGAAGACAGCTAGTTGATTAGACAAAATGAACAACAGAGAGGGAGGGGAAGCACAAGTATTGAATTCCTCATTCGTTGTTAAGAAAAATCCGTTTGAAGCTGATTTTGAATGCTGCTGTTTCATGCATCATTAGATGATACGAGTAATTTTGACCGCAATCTTTCTCCTCCTACAATTCTGTTATTTTTATTCATATTATTCATGATCACTAATTGCTGCGTGCACGTGCAAAGATGCAGTGAAATGATCCAGTGCACATCATGCAAATCTGCGTATTTGTTCCTCTATTCAACTTCGTTGCGGAGAAACTATACATCCAATGCCAAACCATAAAACAAGAAATATTTATCTTCCTCATGTTGTATAGTTTCGTTGGATTTTTTATCCAATAGTACTATCTCTTTAGCGATCTTTAAAGATAAATAATTCATTCACTATCCGTTTGCTCACAGCGCACGTACAAACAGACCAAACAGATGTGAGAAGCTTAATTATTCCATCATTTGTGTGCAAAATAATTCGTCTTTTGGGTTTTTACACACGTTTGGGTGCCACTGACCACTTATATCAACCACAAATACAGATGGGTGAGAAAAGAATACAGCAAACAATACTAAAATGCACTCGTTACAAAAGTACCGGAAAATGTTTAAACATAAGATGAAATTCTAAAACTGGTGGCAAACAAATTCATTCCTTTATAGAGTGCTTTCTACGCGATTTAAATATTTGAGAGGAACAAGAAATTAACGTTCACCGGTCTATGTATTTTAACAATGTTTTCCATGTGTTGTGCTATCTGCATCTCAGTAATTGAGATGCCTTGAGTTTCGTAGTTCTGATTCTCATCATAACTGCCTCCACCTACATTTTCCCGTTAATGAACCTGTGATTAACTGCGGTTCCGTTCTGATACTAAATTCCCCATTTGTCTATTCATCGGTAAGAACTAAAGCTTTTTTAATTACCATTGTTGCACTGGTGAGCGGAGACAGTTAGTACAAGGTGTTCAAGATGACGAGAATTTAACTTGAAATGCGCACAATGATTTCGTATAATATCCTAGTGTGCACATAAAATTTTCGAATATAAATCTCCTGATAGTCCCTTTAGCTTTTCCAATATCATTTCTGTAGGAATATTAACACTTCAGAAGTTGAGTGACAATGCGAGTGAAGCACATGGTTGGAAACAGGTGTGGTTTGTTCCCTAATATAGTTCCATTTAATTGAAATCAGTAATTATGAACTATTGAATCGGTTGGTAAACCGCCAAACTTAGTTTATTAATCACCGTACATAAACATTGCCTTAACTGCTCTTGATTGCAGCTGCCATTTGTTTTTCAACGTTGTCTTTGGTCTGGGATCGATGACGATGCCACTGTTGGATCCACCGTCCAGTGGCAGCCAAACAACTTCCCAATGTGGTCCGGATTGATGCAAATTCAAATTCGAATCGCAATCGCCCTGATACGTTTGGCCTACGATAAAGAAGTCACCACAATTACAAATAACCAAATGAAAAATACAGAACAAATCGGGTAGGATTCCAGATGGTTCTGAGTTTTAAAACAGTTGTTCCTTTCCATAACAAGTGTTGAAGGGAAAATCATCGTTTTCAAAAATTCATGATAATTCCTTTGTAGATCATACATATAACAAAACCTTGTAGATGATTAGGTCAATAGCTAGTTTATTGTTTAATTTTCCGATCGAGGGAAATGACGTTCGGTCTATCGGTAGGGAGGTGATTTAGGTAATAATCAATCACATCAAATAATTGGCGATGTTGTTTGCCTCTTCGCTCTCTTTATCAACACTTTCCGCACCCGTGTAGTCTCGAATACCCATCTCCCTCTCTCTCTCTCTCTCGGAACAAATGTAAAATAAACTAGTCAACGACTTGAATAGATATGCTTGTTCTCCTCGTACGAGCCGGATTAAGAACTACTGAAGTAACTGTTTGTTCTCCCTCCCCCGGATATGATCAGTATGAAGTTGTTCGTTCTTCCAGCTAATGATTTATTACGTTGCACAGCGTTCAATCAGGCGTTGATGGTGTTCTTTATTTGGACTGAAATGACTGCTACCTAACGACCTAACATCGAGATATGTTTTCATCACAAACTCTGATCATTGTAAGTACGGTTGAAAGCAATCTGATAGAACAGGTGTATATTTACATGAAAATGATAGACTTTGTTTTGATCGAGATCGTTTGAAAGAAAGCAACACTCAGCATAGTGGGCAGAACTGATATTGACCATCGATTTTGAATGTTCTCAATCACTTGTAAACAAATATTCATATGATCATACAAAAGGAAAAAACACATAAGAGTTGAAATGAATCATTTGAACAAGTTGTTGGGCAAGCGATTTGCGCAATTTGTGCTTGGTCACGGGTTGCGGTCAAGTTAGATGACAAAATTTCATATGGAGTTTAACTGATAAAACGATGTGATGAATGTGGCGGAAGCAGGAATGGGTGAGGATGTTACACAATATGGTAGGGAGAGATCAAGTATCATCACTACCAGGGCAACAAAAGTTGCGTCAAAAATGTTTTTGAACCCATAATTACGGTTTCAAGTGATGAGTAATTATCGCTTCTAAAAATCGTAAATTCCCTAAACTTTGGGGGCTTGCAATGAATCGAAACGCTTTGGGTGCGTCTACGTGGTGACCGGAGTCTAACAAATGTCAGGCTATTGCCTTAGATGGTAGTTTCAATCCGCGAAGACCAAGGTATTTGGAAATACGTTCACACATTCTGGTTTATAAACGACGTTCTGTCCTTCCGATGTATCGCTGAACGTAGGTTCATTGAAATGAGTAGATGCAGTTGGAGGTAACACTAACATCGTCTCGACCCAGATCAGTACGCGTGAAACAAAGAAGTGCCCCCTAGACAATCATTAATCTTGCGGCATTGTATGTTTTTTGATAGCGTGTGTTAAACGACGAGACATCTTTGTTGTGTTCAAAAAACATTTGTGACGCAACTGAGGTTGTCGTGTTAATGACCTCACACTTGATACCACCCTTACATAGTGACACAACCTTCCCTGTCCCTCCTTCTACCACATGTACCACATCATTTGGACCAGGTCACAGTCATATCAAATTTTGTCATACGGCTTGACGTTCATTCAAACACAAATCACGCAACGCACTTGTCCACCACCTTGTCTAAATCACTCATTTCAAATCTTATATTCTTTCGCTTTGCATGATCAGATAGATGCACGTTTACAGCTGAATTAGAACAGGCGAAATTGTTGGCCAATATCAGTTCTACCAGTAGGTGAACTGGATAAACGGTAAAAGATGTTTTATTTAGCATTCCGTTATTTTATTTGCATTTAACTCACAGTTAGTTGTGAGTTGTTCTATTCTCATTATCCACTATGGATATCAATAAATTTCAGACATTCTGGACCGTCACTTAAAACCTGACAAAACAAGGTCGGAAACTGTCAACACAAAACATCCGGTTGTTCAGATTACAAGGCCCAATATGGACAGTGTATGAATTTCAATTTTCGTGATCCGTTGATGTGACGCCCATTTCTTGTTAATTATAGGCTGTTTGTTCTGGATTGTTCAGTGGTATACTGTAGTATGCCGGACCGACCCCATTTCTGAATCCACTCGAAACACTAGCAAGCTGACTCCGATCAACGCAGTTCGATTTTTTATAGAACTATCATCGTCCCAAAAGGGGCGTAAAATACCTGGCCCTTCACCGACGCTCTCAATACACAAGGAGGAAGGACACTTCCCGCAGTAGATGAATGGATGGATGGATGTGAGACAGGTAAAATACAAAAGCAACCAAGAACCAAAAGGTCCAGTGAGACATGCACACGACTCATACTCAATTCCAAGTGGTTGCGCCCACGTCTTCACTGTAATACACAATTTTCAGGTTTTCTTTGTAGTCCTGTTGGTAGAAAGCGTGAAACTGCAGTACTTTCATACCAGTGTTTTTCAATCTCATGGCAACCCATCGAGGTCAGCATAACTACATATCGGTGATCCCAGATAAAAATTCCTTGTCCATCGTTCATATGCCTCATTTCTGTACGTCCTCAGGTGATCTTTAATAAACTGCAGTCCTCCTCAACATGGACTGTACAATTGTATGTTCTACAAAACTGTCAACAGATACTTCGTGTCCGTGATAATAATAATAAAAATATTTGCTATATATATATGGCAAAGCGATTGTTATATTGAGTCAAAACATCGATCAACTCCAAAGTTTACCCTAAATGTATTCCAGCTAAATATACCTAGAATCCGTCTTTTTCTGAGGTTCGCGCGCAAATCAATCTATGAAGTCGGTTATATTTTCAGGCGGAACAAAATTCTTTGCGTAAAACTTGATCCGTGCAGTACAATAGATTGAGAATGTCTGAGATGGTGTTACAGCCAACACGGTCGAAGACAATACAGAGCGGAAATGAAGGACGTGTGGGCAAAACGGGACAATTATTACTGAATAAAATGACTCGACTGTCAGTTCGTTCGTCTTCTTTTATATTTCCGGTAACAGGATTCATTTTAAGTGCATTATGAAAAGCATGAATAACGGTGTTCTTTGCAATCTAACGCGATAGTTAAAAGGGAGGCGCATTTTCGTAACAATTTTTAAAGTGCTGCCTTCGTATTCAGTCTGGAAGAAATATTTGTATTTCAACCACGAGCCGTATTTTAGAAATCAGAGATGTGGCGAACAAGCTTGGTTGCAGTGCTTTACCCACCGGCCAATTACAGCACATTATATAACTCAGGGAAACAACAGAGGAAGACAGTCAAATCAGGGTTTTCGTGTGTGTAAAATGCATGTTCAGCGGTTGGGAGGGAGGGAGGGAGAGCGGGAGATGTTTTAACACTGATTGCATAATTGGTGATAATCCCTTGCGGAGTGTGAATATTCGACTGAAGTGTTAGGTGGGGGCACTTCGGACACACGGCCATGGAAGGGAAAGGGATTTAACGAACTGTTTGTGTGCACATAATGGGGATTTGTTTATTCTAATTACTATCGCCTCTGCTGTAGATAACAATCTAGTTTTGATATGCTTAGACCCAGATAGATCCCCATCAGTAAATAGACCGGACGGAACGATTCCCGCACATCGACGGTGTTATTCGTCTCGGTTAGATGTATGGCAACCGCACTCGCACCTGCCTTTATCGGTCCCCGACTGAGCCAAACTGGGTGGTGT